CGTGGGCTGGTGTCAGGGCATCGCCACCTCAGCTGGAAAGGAGCTGAGAATCAGGGGCCTGGGGCAGCTGGGGAAACCAGGCTTAATTGTCACCCTCTGCTGGGATTTGGGTTTCTTTGAGAATCTGATGATAGCTCCACACCCCAGAAAAATGCACAGACGATCTTATATGTGCAATTCAGGGTAGTCATAGGCTCCCCTGAATCCATAGCTTCCAGAAAAGTCCTGCTCCTGAGAGGTGGTCTGCACCAGGAAGCAAGACCTCCCTGGGCACAGGGGTTCCAATGAATGACTAGGTGGATAATAACGATAATAACAGCAGCTGCTGCAGCATCGTGCACAATGCTGTCCCAGGGGCTTTACAGCTGATGCTCCTATAATCCTCCCACACTGAGAGGTAGGTGGTGCTGGTCTTTCTCCTTTATCCCTCTGGGTCCTCTCTTCACCCTTCTCCACGCTGTTCTCAAAAGACTGACCTTTGTGAACTGCGGCCAGTGGGAGACACCAGCGCGGGTTCAGGGTGGGATGCTGAGGGACTGGGAAGTTTATTCTGGCACCCCACGCCCCACCACCCTCTGCTGGGAAGTGGTTTGGGCAGTGGCTGCATTTCTCTGCAGCCACAGCTCACGTCACCCCCACGCCCATCAATGATATTTGCAAGCATGTTCTAAGGATACTGAAGGATTCATCGTTTCCTTCTCACAGACAGGAAGTGAGGCACAGAGAGGTTAAATCCCTTGCCCAGGAGCTAGAAAGTTGCAGATTTGGATCTATGCTCCTAACCATGTTCCATGCTGCTGCCCCTGCAGAATAGCCTGTTTCCCAGGATGAGTGGACAATTAATGGGGAAACAAGGGGAAAAACACAGAATCAAAGAAACGCCTAGACCAAAACATTTGTGTGGTACCCACCATGTATGAGAGTAACCCCGGGATCATAGTCTACTCCTCTGTCCTCCAGTCCCCCACACCACTCCTCCCCTTGGTTCCCTTCCTCTGTCCATGACCCCTGGGCTGGCCCTAACTCCGTCTTCTCTCTCCCACAGCCTCCGCATCTGGTCAGGAGCCACGTATGCCCTGCCAATTTTACCTCCATTCCATCATAGGCCCCACATTGGTCCCCATTCCTCCATTTCTGTTTATCCTGATTCATAATCTGGTCACTTATGATCTGGGTGACCTTGAGCGAGTCACTTAACTTGCTTTGCGTCAATGTTCTCATGTCTGAATGGGGCTAATAACGGTGCCTGCTTCACATGGTTGTTGTGAAGATTGACGGTGCAGGCACACAGCAAGTGCCATGTACATGTTAGCAATCCCTCCGGCCTGCTTCACCCCATGGCCTGCACCTATGCTGTACAGCAGCCTCCCTACTGGACTCCCCATCTGAAGGCCAGGCGCCCCTAGCCCAGCCTGCGCTCTGCTCTGGAGTGACCTTCCTATTATACTGCTCTGCAGGGCACTCCTGGGTCCCTCCTTCTTTAAAAATATTTTTTAAAATTTATTTATTTATTTATTTTTGGCTGTGTTGGGTCTTCATTGCTGCGCACGGGCTTTCTCTAGTTGCAGCAAGTGGGGGCTACTCTTCGCTGTGGTGCATGGGCTTCTCATTGCGGTGGCTTCTCTTGTTGCAGAGCACGGGCTCTAAGCATGTAGGCTTCAGTAGTTGCAGCACATGGGCTCAGCAGTTGTGGCGCACGGGCTTAGTTGCTCCGCGACATGTGGGATCTTCCCGGACCAGGGCTCGAACCCATCTCCCCTGCAATGGCAGGCGGATTCTTAACCACTGTGCCACCAGGGAAGTCGTTTGTCCCTCCTTCTTTATCCAATAAAAACCAGTCGCCGTGCACAGCCTAATATTCAAGGTCTTTCCCAATCAGGCCTGTCCCTACCTTTTCACATCCATCTCCGGTTACATCCTCACCTACCTGTCTACTAGAACCCAGACATTATAAGGAATTTTTGGAAAACTTTCTGTCGAAGGAATCTTAGGCAGAATCCCAATGTACAGGCCTGCTAAAAGTGTAATCAGGGCACCCCTCTCAGGCCTTCTTGCCTCCACCACAGCCCCATAGCCACCTCCCCATGCTATGTGTGCAAAGCCCAGTTTGCAAATATTGCTCCAGGCCCAGATGCTGCTACATTTCTTTCCAGCTTCCCAGCCTTTGCTCAGACAGCTCCTTTTGCCAAGTGTGCTTTCTCCCAACCCCTCCTCCCCAAACCCAACCTCATCTTTAAGGTGCAATTCAAATTCCACCTCTCTCAGGAAGCCTTGCTGGTTTCTGGCAGCTCCCTCTGTTTCTACAGCTCCGTCACCTCTCACCCTCAGAGCATTACTCATGTCCTGCCTGGTAGGGTATTTGTGTCCCTGTGTTATCTCCCCCATGACACAGAGCCTCTCGAGGGTAGGATTCACACTGGACTCCTTGCCACCTTCCCTGTAGTTTCTGACCATGGCCTCTCACTACTCCTTTGGCTCACACTGCATCCTGGCCAGGGCTTAGGTTCTGCCATGTTCTAAGTAGGATAATGAAAGTGGCCAAGAGCCCCAGCTCTATTCTGTGACCTCTGGGAAGTTGCTTCACCTCTCTGTGCCTCTATTTTTCAACTGTAAAATGGGAATAACAACAGTATGTTTCTCATAGAATTATTCTGAGGGTGAGCTATAATGGATGCATAGCAAGTGCACAACACCATGCCTGGCTCATGGTGAGCACCTGAAACATGTTCTATGTTACTGGGGGAAAGGAAGCCATGCAATGGTGTGATTACTCTCACCTTCAGGTGAGCGCCTGAGGAGCCTTGATGTGGGCCCTATGGCAGAGGCTACGAACTGCTCACACACCCTGTTTCCTCACCTTCTAGGGCACACATCCCCCTTGCAGTTGGATGTGGCTATTATGACTGAGTTCTACCAGTTGTATGTGAACACAGTGATAATCGCCACCTCCAGGCTGGCCCAGAAAGACCATCCTCTTCATGCTCTTTCTCCATCTGCTGTCCAAGTACAGCAGATCCAAGAGGATCTGGGGCCCTTGAGGAGGGCAGAGCCACAAGATGGAAGGAGCCTGGGTCCCTGATTGACCACACAGAAGAACATCTGTCAGTCAGAAACATTTGATTGGATTTTAGTTGAGTAAGAAGGAGATTTTTATTGTTTTAAGCCACTAAGACTTGGGGGTTTACATGTTATAGCCGCTAAAATTACCTAACTAATTTGGGCCAAATTTGTTCAATGTCATTAAAGGCTCATTTCTCCTTAGGTTGCTGGGCACTGAACCCCCTGTGGCTGCTATCCAGCTGCCCCTTGGGGATCAGGGGTGTCAATCACTTGGGGAGACTCACTTGAAGAAGCCGAATATTCCTAGCCGGTACTGGATAGCCACAACAAGCACGTCCTCGTAGGAAGCCAGGGCAGACCCATCGAAGATGCATGCTGAGCCAGTCTCGAAGGCACCCCCAGGGAGCCACACCATGACCTAAGGAGGGGAGAGGAACTCTCCAGTCAGCCCACCAGGCACCCATATCCCCTCCCCATGCATGTTGGGACAGTTTTTCTTTAGGGAAATATGAATGTCTCACTTTCTTTTCCAAACAGCATCAGAGGTTTTTGTCTTTTGAAGAAGGCCCAGGATTAAGCATGTGGCTTCTGGCATACGAGTACCTGGGTTTGATTCCCAGCTCTGCCACTGACTGGCTGTGTGACTTTGAGCAGCTTCCTTAACCTCTCTGAGGTTTGTTTTTCTCATCTGTAAGATGTGAAGAATGAAAGTATCTCGTTTATGAGGTTATCATTAGGTTTAAATAAAATTCTTCATCCAAAGTCCATAGAACAATGTTGGTATATTTCAAGTTCTCAGAAAATGTTAACTAAATGTCTTTGAACTTGTTGACCCACAGGAGGATGGAAATCACTGTAAGCCATATATGAGAGGAAAAGCTGCTTTTCTAAGACTTTTCCCTACTTACAGAGAAAAGAGAAGAGAGGAGGGAAAAATGGGAAGAGAAGTATGGAAGCTTTACTATACTGATTAGAAAAACTGGGACCAGGAAACATCAAACATTCAAATGGTATTATCACAATTTATATACTTAATAATAAATCCCTCCCCTTCTATTTTTTAAGGTCATATTAGTGACTACAACTCTTGGGGCAGGAAAAGAGAAGAAAGCCACGGAGGAAAAAGGAGAGCTGGACAAAGCATTGGCTTTGACACCCGGATCTGCCACCTACTGTGTATATAACAGGGACCAAGTCACTTATGCCCTTCCTGTGCCTCAGCTTCTTCATCTGTAGAATAGGTCCAATAATCCTCACCCACTGGGTTATTGTGGGGGTTAGATGAGATAATGAACTGTGCCTGGCACATAGTCAGCCCTCAGTAGGTGTTGCTGTTACGATACAATAGAGCGAGTCTCCATTGCAGTGGCAAGGGGAGAGAGGGTGATAGAGGTTGTGGTTCAAAATTAGATGGTAGAATTACCTTCTCCACTCACTTGTACAGTGATCTTTCACATTCTTAAGTGAAATATTTCACATTCTTACCTGACTTTCTTCATTGAAAACAGAAAATTTGAAAAAGGCATTTCTCCTCTTTAAAAGAGGATTTCCCAAGCTGAAAAATCAGAGTCCTCTGAAACAGAGTCTTTTCTACATGTTTACAGACCATTAAATACCCAACAGAGGGGAAAAACAAAACAAAATCAAAATCAAAGATCAAGTCACTGCCAATAAGGAAGCAATCAGAAAAGGAGATAAAGTAAATCTGTCATTAGAATGATTTTTTAAGAAAGTTATTGACATGTCAAGTGATTGCATTTCCCTTTTACCCAGTGGGGGCCTAGATCTGATTCCAGACATCCTGCCACTCCGCCTGGGTCCCAGGCCCAGAACCTGCCAACTGGAGCCCCCAGCAAGGCAGGCCTCCTTACGGGGAACTTGGAGCCAGCGTCCGCATGGGCCGGTGCATAGATGTTAAGGTACAGGCAGTCTTCCGACACGCTGAGTTTGGGATAATGCACCTTGAGAATGTGTTGATCTGAGAACAGCCACTCTGAGTTCTGGAGGCACCTTGAAAAAGGGAAGGAGAAACCCCCAGAGTTGCTGTCAGCAAACTTCCCTGGGAGGGACCAGTTCTTGTGACACACATCAGATTTACCTTTTACCATCAATGACCAGCTTAGAGCCTGACAGAGCAAGTCTTTAATAAATGTTAAGTTTAAAATTATGAATGTGCTTTTCTATCTAATTTGATAGTTAAAGGGGAGTTTTACTCAAATGTGGCCTGGAATAATCCAAACCCAGAAGAAATATTTGAAGTGATATTGGTTGAAAAACTGATGAAAAACATCAACCCACTTATCTAAGAATCCCAACATATCCAAAACAGGATAAACACATGCACAAAAATTACACCTTAGCACATCACAATCAATTGCTAAAAACCAAAGCTTAAAAAAAATCTTGCCAGCAGCCAAAGAATAAAATACATATTGGATTCCAGAGGAAAACAATAAGAATGATGGCTAGTTTCATTAGAAAGAATGGAAGGCAAAAGATAACAAAACGATGAAAAAAAAAGCATTGTCACTGTAAAATTCTTTACATAGGGAAAATATCCTTCAAGAATGAAGAAGAAATAAGTACATATTCAGGAGAGAATACGCTACTGGCAGACCCACACTGCAAGAAGGACTAAAGAATGTTCTTCAGGAGATATGGAGTGACATCAGAGAAAACGGACTAGGGAATTCCAAGGGCCCATCCCTCAACAAAAAACATATATAGCAAATTCTATGTAACACAGAAGAATGCACATTCTTCTCAAGTGCCCATGGCACATTCTCCAAGGTATACCATTTGTTAGGCCACAAAACAAGTCTCAATAAAATAAAAAGGTTTGAAGTCATACAAAGTATCTTCTCCTACCACGATGGAATGAACGTAGAAATCAATAACAAAAGGAAATTCAGAAAATTCACAAATATGTGAAATCTAAACAAGACACTCTTAAACAACCAATAGGTCAAAGAAGAAATCACAAGGGAATTAAAAAATACTTTGAGACGAATGAAACCAAAGTACAACATACCACAACTTATGGGGTGCGGGGTGCAGTGAAAGCAGTTTTCAGAGGGAAATTTATACCTATAAATGCCTACATCGAAAAAGAAGAAAGATCCAAAATAGATCATTTAATATTCCACTTTAAGGGACTAGAAAAAGAAGAGCAAACTAAATCTAAAGCAGAAGGAAGAAAGTAACAAATATTAGGGTGGAGATAAACAAAATAGAGAATAGAAAAGCAATAAAGAGAATCCATGAAACCAAAAGCGAGTTGTTTGAAAAGACCAAGCAAATTGAAAAATAATAAACAAAACAAACAAGAAAAACCTTTTCCTAGACTAATCAAGACAAAAAGAGAAAAGACTCAAAATACTAAAATTGGTAATGAAAGTGGAAACATTACTACCAACCTTACAGTATATTATTCAGGCTGAAATAAAATGATAAATCAAATATAATGCAAATGTATTATGGAGTTCTAAGATGTACAAAAGTAAAAGATGTGACAAAATAGCACAAATGGGGGAGGTAAAGATAATTATGTTATATTAAGTTTCTTATACAGTGTAGTTAAAAAACTCAAGAGCAGAGACCAAATAAATAAATAAGAATCATAGAAAATACTCAATTAATCTAAAAGAAAATAGGAAAGGGGAAACCACAAAAACAGCAAAAGAACTGATGGGAAAAAAAAAAACAAAAATCAATAGTCAGATGATAGACTTTAGCCTACCCATATTAGTAAACATGTTTAATGAAAACAGACTAAGCACTGCAATTTAAGACTGATTTTCAGTACATTCAGTACAGTAGATTTCAAGATGAGAAATATCACCAGAGATAAAGAATACCATTTTTTATAGTGGCTGAAAAAAAAATACAGTGATCAGAAAGATATAAAAATCCTAATTGTGTATGTACCTAACAACAGAGGCTCAAGATACATAAAGAAAAAATTGAACTAAAGAAAGAAATGGAAAATGTTACAATCATAATTAGAAGTTTTAACACAGCTCTATCTATATAATTAATAAAATAATCAGAAAAAATCAGTAAAGATATAGATTTGAACAACAGTATTAAGCAATTTGACCTAATTGACATATATTAGATGGACAACCACAGATTATTATTTTCAGGTGCACATGGAACATTTACCAACATAGACCAAATGCTGGGCCCTAAAGCAAGTCTTAATAAATTGCAAAGTATTAAAATAATACAGAATATATTCCCTGACCATAATGCAGAAATCAATAACAAAAATATAATTAGAAAATTCCCAAACACTTGGAAATCAAGCAATACACTTCCAAATTACCCATGGGTCAAAAGAAAAAATCACAAGGACCAATTAGACAATGGAGCTCAGGGGTTGGTGGGTTTTAGATAACATAAGTGTATTGACATCATCTATAGGAGCATGCTTACTTGAGTGAGACTGTTGTTGATTAGTTGGCACTCAGAAGTGTGTTTATTAAAGTAAGTTTGCCCCTGATGGGCTGATTTTCAGAAGCTAGGAGCTAACAACAATTTGTTGATTTGCAAAAGCACATTCCCTGAAGCAAGTTGTCATTGATCAATTGAACAAGTTTAAAACCAGTTCTGGTGGTGACTTGTTACCATAGCTCACAAAAATCAGTCTGTTAGTAAGTCTGTTAGAACATGTTCATTTTCAATATGAAAAATCAATCTTTTTCTACTAATGAAAATCAGAAAATGAAAACTTAAAATGCTAATTATAATAGCATCAAAAAAATCAAATACTCAAGAATATATTTAATGGAAGATTTGAAAGACATCTGACTTAAAACTACAAAACATTGCTAAGAGGAATTAAAGATCTAAAGAAATGGAGAGGTAAATCATATTCATGAATTCAAGGATTCAATATTATTAAGATGTCATTTCTCCCCAAACTGATCTATAGAGTGAATTCAATCTAAGTGAAAACTCCAGCAGTCTTTTTTTTTTTTTTTTTTGGTGTAAATTGAAAAGCTAATTCTAAAACTTATATGTAAAACCAAAGGACCTTTAAAAATGTTGGAGGACTTACACTACCAGAAATCAAGACTTACTATAAAGTTAACTTGGTCCCTACCTCATCACACACAAAAATTAATTTAGGACAGATCAAAACGTAAATGTGAAAACTAAACTATAAAGCTTCTAGAAGAAAATGTAGGAGAATAGTCTTATGGTCTTAGAAGAGGCAAAACGTTCCTGAGAGAGGATACAAAAAGGTACAAATCAGAAAAGAAAAAAGTGGACAAATTGGACTTCATCAAAATTTAAAACTTCTGCTCATCAAGAGATACCATTAAGAAAGTGAGAAGACAACCCACAGACTGGGAGAAACCATTCACAATATATATATCTGACAAAGAAATAATATCTGGAATGTATAAAAATTCCCACACCTCAATGATAAAAAGAAAGATTACCTAATTAAAAATGGACAAAAGACTTCAACAGTCTTCTTCTTTCATTTCATGAAAGAATCTATCCAAATAGTTAATAAGCACATGAAAGGGCACTCAATATCATTAGCCATCAGAGTAATGTGATTAAAACCACAGTATCATTACTTACCACCAAAAAGGTTAAAAATAAAAAATCTAACTATACCAAGTATCGGCAAGAATGCCAAGTATACATTGCTGGGAGGAGTTAAAATGGTAAAAACCATTTTGTAAAACTGCATGGCAGTTTCTAATAAAGTTAAATGATTGTACTCATAGTTGTTGGACCAATGGCTTCAACAGGGAAGGGAGCAGGGAGCTCGCAGCCCCTAGTCTGATTTTCCCCTAGCCTTGAGCGTGGGTACTTTCCGTCCTATGCTCCCACTTTGAGCTTCAAGCCATGACATCTAACCCCAGGAAGTTGCAGGGCCATGTCAAGGGAGAATAAGTGTTTCAGCCCCTATCAGAAGGAGGGGGTAAGGATCAGGAAAGAGCCCTTGGTAGATTTTGTCCATACCTAACCTATATCCACAACTTTGGCATTAACTCTTCTTCTACAGTGACTCGGAGCTTGGCCATGTGATTTGCTTTGCGCAACGAAACAACAGCAAATATAACACAAGCAGAGATTTGAAAAGCGTTTATATATTGGGATTTTCCTTTTCTTGCTGCCCTTTGAGACCCTGCCATCCCCATGTGTGAAACAGTCGGGCTAGCCTGCTGGACAATAAGCCTCACAGGCCCAGAGTCCCCATTGCTCCAACTGACAGCCACCCAACCCACACAGTCAGAGTCTCCTAGATGACTGGCAGTTGACCACAGATGCATGAGTTAAGTCTAGCTAAAACCAACAGAACTGCCTCAGTAATCCCAGCCCAAATTGCTGACCCACAGAAACACGAGCTGAAAAAATGGTTATTTTTTTAAGCCACTATGTTCTGGGATGGTTTGTCACACAAAAATATATAACTGAGACATAAGTTTTTATGTAGAAGTTGGAGGCTATCATAACCAAAACCTAAAATTCATGAGACAGAATGTTGTGTCATTAGCATGCTCTTATTGCTTATGATAAGATAAAGAAAGTGTGTGGCAAGGCAGAAAAAGAATCGATTCCTGCCAAGCATTTCAGTTCCAGACTATTGTTTCCAGAAGGCCAGGCCTCAGAGGGAGCAGAGAAGAGTAGAGAAGAGTGGAGAGGAGAAATCTATGAGTCCTAAACAGAGGGGGTCTGCATCGTGTTTCCCAGCTGGAGGGCAGTGACCTGGGCCCCAAGGTGGAATGGTAATATGCACCCAGGCACAAGACCCCACAAACCGAATCCCATGCCCCAAATATAACCCACAGAGGGCATGGATCTTCTGGGCCTGTAGGGCCACTGGATGATGGATGTTGAACCCTATGTGAACCAATGATTGAGAAGTAGATGGCCCTGCAAGCCTCTTACCGCAACCCATTCCTTGGCACTGAATTCCAGGGATTATCACCCAATCTCCAGAACTGTGTAGGGGGTTAGGGAACCGAGAAACAGTTCAGGCTAAA